GTCAACGAAAGTACGATTACGGTAAGGTACTGTCAACGGCCGTAAGATTAAGGTCTGCGACAGTATAATTACTGTTAATGACTGTACAATACGGTCAATGTTTAGCGGCGGACGTAAAAATACGGATACAAATTTTAGGAAAAAAAATCACAAAAAAAAGTCAACACTGGTAACCGGCGGCTGAAAATGCAGACAGAAAAAAAAAAAAAATTCGAAAAAATCAATGCCGGAAACCGGCGGCGGAAAAAGCAGATCGATAAAAAAAATCGAAAAAGTCAACGGCAGAGACCGGCGTCAAAAAAACAATTTCAGAAAAAAAAAAAGTTAAAAAAAAAGTCAAAATTGAAATTTTGTGATCAAAATTGATTAAATTGAGGATACAATTAACTTTTGGTGTAAGTTTGTCATATACATTAATTTTTCCTTTATTTATAATACATATTAAAGGGGTGGGCTTACTGGCGAAAGATATATAACCTTTGAACCTAGTGTAATAAAAATGGTTGGGCAGGGACTTATGTACAAAAACCCCAATTATGAATACGTGACGGTTTTTTTTTTTTTTTTGGTAATTTACCTAATTTTTAAGGACAAATGGCAAAAATGGACATGACAAGGGATTTCAATGCACATTGGTCCACAAAAAAAAGTTTTTCAAATAAAACTATCCCCATATCTTTAGTCTAAAATAGCCTCCATAATATATTTTTTATCAATTCCATCCATTATACTCTAACTTCGTTAATATTACACATTTACACCGGATTTAAACAAATATATCACATTAACCCCCATTTTAATAAATTTTATGAAAAAATATTTTTTTTTTCAGAAAATAATTTTGTTTCTAAAATTTCTTTTTTCTAATTTTTTTTTCTGACAGATTCCGGCGTTGACCAGAGGGTTCTCCGGCGTTGAATTTTTTTATTTTTTCTGAAATTTCTTTCCAGCCGGTCAACCGCCGTTGGCTGCTGGTCTACGGCGTTGACTATTTTTTTAGTTTTTTATTTTTTGAAATTTTTTTTAAGAAAAAAATATTTTAATTAATATTACTGTTTGGGACAATAATATTATGAATATTATTTTCCCGAACAGTAATATTACTAATATTACTGCCCCACACATTAATATTATTGCATGAGACAGTAATATTACGGTCGGAGACAGTAATATTATAGTCGAAGACAACAAAATTGCTGGTCAAGACGATAAAATTAATTAATACACCAAAATTACTGTCTCAGACAGTTACATTACTGTTGGTGACAATAATTTAGCAGCCAAGACAATAATATTAATTAAAATAATTTTTTTTAAGAAAAAACAAAATTAAAAAAAAAAAAAAAAAAAAAAAAAAACAATTAACAATTATGTCTCCGACAGTTAAATAACTGCTAGAGACAGTAATTTAGCAGCCAAGACTAGGGCTTTGCGTTGGTTGGGCTGGTTAAAAACCAATCCAACCGACTTTGGTAAATATTGGAAACCGTTATCGACCCAATTTACATGGGTTGGGTGATGGTTGAAAACCAATTTAGTGGGTTGGTTCACTAGTAGAAAATTTGCTTATTACTACGAATTTGTTTGCTACGGTGAAAAACCGTAACAAAAGGTATTTTTTACTACGGAACAATTTTGAAGTCGTAGTAAATACTAGTATTTACCGTAGCAAAAAAGTATTTGGTACGGCCATTTACCATAGCAAAGCTTTTGTCACGCCCGTATATGCTACCGAGTAAATTCGTAGCAAATGTGTAGCAAAAGTTTTTTTACTATGAATTTGGTACATTTTGCTACGGTTAATGATCGTAGTAAAAAACCATTTTTCTACTAGTGGTTGATGGTTTGGTTGATGGGTCATCCATCTAAATATTTTTTTAATTTTTTTTAATATTTTATTAGTTGTTACACTTTATATTTTTTATGAATTAAATATGACTAGTTCGATAATATTCAAATAAAAAAAATCAAAACATTATGGACCATATGTATTGCAATTAAACATAAATAGTTCAACAACTAATAATCGTCCTAATATTTAGGCTATAGGTCTTAAAATTAAAATAGTTCGAATTAGATAATTAGGTTAGATTTATTGTTTTTAGGATTTTGGTCAATATTAGATAATTTAATAAATGTGATGTAAAATAGAAATTTGAAATTGAAAATATTGAACATTTTAAATAAAATTAATAAATAAAGTTGGTTGGCCGATATTATCCGACTAACCAACTTTTTAGCATATTAGAAACTATTATCGACCCAACTATATATACATGGGTTGGTTGACATTATCGACCCAACTTAAATGGGTCGGTTGATGGTTGATTATCCGTCACAAATTATTGGTCGAAAATGGGTTGGTTGGTGGTTAAAACCGATCCATGCACATTCCTAGCCTAGACAGTAATATTAATTAAAATATTTTTTTTAAGAAAAAAAAAAGTCGGTTAACAATTAAATTACTGTCTCCGACAGTTAAATTACTATTGGAGACAATAATTTAGCAGCCAGGACAGTAATATTAATTAAAATATTTTTTTAAGAAAAAAAAAGAGTCAATTAAGAGTTAAATTACTGTATTCGACAATTAAATAACTAATGGAGACAGTAATTTAGCATCCAAGAGAGTAGTATTAATTAAAATATTTTTTTAAGAAAAAAAAATAAAAAAGAAAAAGTCAACGTCGGAGACCAATCTATTCTGAATTTTTTTAAGTGCCCTTGTCATGCAGCTATTTCCCATTTGCCCAATTTTTTTAAATATAATAATTTTGTTTACCAATCTATTCTGCATTATTTTATGTTCTAGTATGGGAAAGTTTTTGTGAAATCCTGGATTCATAATTCTATCTACCAAAGTATTCAAGTAATTTCCTTTTTAGATTTATGCTAGTTGCAAAAGAAACGAATTTATGATCAGGTCAGTTGTTAGGATGTGACTTGATTAGCAAAATTATTAGAAAATAAAATTTGACAACAAAATAGTTTAATACTGTGAAGATAAATGGTAATAGCAAATAGAGAAATCTTCATAATTCAGATCATGTCTCCCTTCGTTTACTTTCTTTTGTTCTTACCACTTGTTGTACTAGTATGCAAACCAGTTGCAGAGACGATGGCCCGATAATTCGGTTTCCTTTCAGATGTAAAAATCAGCAACCTCAGCACTGTGGCTATCCAGGTTTCGATTTATACTGCGACCATAAAAACGATACTGTTCTTGTGCTTCCCTTCTCTATAAATGTTGCTGTTAGGAAAATAGACTATGTATCTCAAAGAATTCTGGTTTATGACCATGAAATATGTCTTCCAAAAAAGCTGCATGATCTAAACTTATCTGCTTCCCCTTTCCATGTGAAATATTACTTATACGACTATACCCTATTCAATTGTTCTGATCCGCCAAGAAGAGACTTAGGTAATGTAATCCCTTGCCTTGGCGATTCCACGTACCAAATCTACGCCGTTGATTCGGAAATGCCGCTTGAATTACTTCCTTTGACTTCTTGTACCAAAACATCTGAATTTAAATCTGTTCCGTGGGGAATATTTCAAAAATCCAACTTCTCTTTGGAATGGTCTGAACCAGCATGTTCCATATGTGAAGATGAAGGCAAAATGATCTTACTTGTTCCATATGGAATGGTCTTTGGAATGGTCTGAAACAAATGAAATTTTGACCTTACTTGTTTTCAATTATGTATAAAGAAAAGGAACATAAGTAAGCACATTAAGTAATAGTCTAATCTCATTTTCAGCTATAGCACTTCAGTTAGTGTGGTTTCGCTGACTTGAAAGTGGATATGGTTTAATTTATTTTTCTCCGTGAACGGTCAATATAAGGTTTGTTGTAAAACATAAAGAATAAAACTTTGACCGTACACACGAAGAATAAATAATTAAGGGAGAAAAGACTAAGTGCTAATTTGACTAGTGTACGCCTTAAGATAAATATTTATAATTGCAGTTTACATCTCAGATACGTTGAAAAACGTAATTATGTTTGTTTCTCACTTTAATTTGTTCTAAAATATATTTTGACTTTGTACCTAGACACATTTAGTGAATAGATCATGGGTTACACTATTCACGTAAGTGTGTATATAAAGGGTTATTCACATAACCAACATTTAATTGATGTTGAAAGATATACATCTATAAAGGTTATGTAAGACATTTGGAATTGGGGCTATGAGGACTCTTAGGTTTCTTTTGAATTGTGAAATAGACATTTGGTACCGTCATTAGATGAATTTAGATTTTCTCTTGAACAAATTCGGTTAGCTTGTTCATTTGAAAACATTAAGCTTGGTCTATTTCATAATTTAAAATTTGACCTATAATTTAAGTAAAAGTCTCATGCAGTAAAATCTTGCATAAGCAATTTAAAATGGTACAAATTTCAAGAATAGAACATTCAAGGACATTCAATGAAGTATGATAAGTCATTATTCTTCGCTAAGGTACATTTAGGAGAAACATTAATTGCTGCAATATATATTTTTTTTAAGGGAAATTTAAAATCTTTTAAGGATGTTGAGTCTGAGGGGAGAAATTTCGATTATAGACATGGTCTTTAAAGAGGAATCAGTTCGATTCCTAATACTGCTTTTGACAATGTACATGTTTTTATACTTGTCATTGTTTGAAAAGTAGATTTGAAGATTTGATAAGACAATGTTGAACAATTCCCCAATCAAGTCTTGATAATTGTTACTTAAAGAGCAAACTCAACAACCTTAAAATAATAAAACATTAAAGATGAGTTGAAATTTAGAATGACAAGACATTAAGATCTTATCAAATTGCCATAAGGTGTGAATTTGGTTACAAATAATAGAGACCAAATGTAATTCAAATGGGCAATATTGAAAGATATATGGTACGGTTAGTCATTAAATATTGCACTCATATCGACTCTATTAAGAGATTTATGGACACAAGGAATATGTTTCTCAAATAGTAATATTTTTGGAACAATAAAGTGCAACCATAAAATTTTAAAGATTTGAAGGATATTGATTGCAAACTAAAGTAGTCCATTAATGAAATTTAAAATTCCCATTAATGATGTTACAATCATAAGTTAATTATCTCATATGTACTTTGAGATAAATAAAGTTAATGATTGTACATACCCAAGGATCAGTGGGAGATAATCTCACAACAAAGGAGACTTGTTTAGTCTCAAATTCAATGCCCAATAAATATTTTATGTAAAAGAATGTACACATTCGGTTAAGGTGTGCATAAAGTTAGGCAGATATTTGAATAACCTTATAAAGTGGATCATTTAGCAAAGCAGCCAAATGGGTTATACAGTAATTATAGGGAATGTAAGTTATATGCATATGCTCATTTATCAAAATCAGATATTTTTGGAGATCGTGTGGTTTATTCATGATTTTGATTTTTATGATGCGTATGAAGTATAGATCCATTTTGGTTAATGTAAACCTAAGTGATTGAGCTATTTTGACATGGGTGTTAAGCAAACACTTTAAGCTCTGTTCACGATGGTTAAGAATTTATGGTAATTTTTGGCATCTTCTTTTTTAATATAGCTATAAACACTTGTCATTAGGTTGCACATGTTGATTTGTATTAAAGTTATACGGTGACAATATTTAACAGCTATACTTTCGAACAACATCAAGAGCTTGTAAAAGTTCTTTGTTGTTAAAGGTACAAAGTGAACAGTACATAGAGCATATTAAGATAAACTCCACAATTGCGGATCCGCTTACTAAAGGATTAACACATAAGGTATTCATGAGCATTGCTCATGTAGGTGTTATATCATTTAAGGATATTTTGGTTCAGTGGGAGTTTGTATGTATGTGTACATATAAATACATTTTGGTAGCTCTATGATATGTTTGGACACAATTTTGTGTATTTGGTTTTCTGCAGAAATAAAGTATTTGGCTACACTTTGTACAATTATGTAAAGATTTGGTCTCAATAAAGTTTAAAGTAGGACCAGTTGGAAATAGGCATGTTAAGATCACATTATATGTAATTTCCATGCTACACACCATGATTTGATCTATGTCGTTTGGCTATATTGGTATACGTGATTACTGTTGGGTTTAGACACGCTCAATGTGACGAAAGCCTCTTTAGTCCTATATTAGTATGGTCAATGGACGAGATTGTAAGGAATACCTTTTTATATGATAGCAATTTTGAGCTCATAAGGTGTACACATTTATAAGGTATATAACATATGTGGCCCAAGTGGGAGATTGTTGGAATTATTTCAATAATTCATGTGGGCTCACATATGTGACGTAAATGTGTATGGCTATCTTCAAGAAAGTCCAGATTAATTGTGAGCTAATAAAGGTTATTGGGTTGGACTTATGGGTATTAAACTATCATTATGGGCCTAATGTGTAGAGACAATTAGGGCTTAGTTGTGATTTATTGATGGGGCTGAATCACAATTATAATATAACTGGACTCTACAGTTATATAAAGGGTCGTGGTCCCCAAAGAAACACAACCATTCCGTCTCTTCTAAAATCCATCGTTAGAGAGATAAATAAGGAATTGCGGATTCTTTGGAAGACCCGTCCCAAATCCAGTGGAGATTCGAAGATTCGATTCCGTTATGTAAGGTACGCTTCCGTGTTTATGTTTCTGTATAATTCTCGTTGATTCAAGCATGTTGGTTCTTGGGAATTCGTATGTGTATACGATAAATTTTTTAACAAATATTACTTATACGACTATACCCTATTCAATTGTTCTGATCCGCCAAGAAGAGACTTAGGTAATGTAATCCCTTGCCTTGGCGATTCCACGTACCAAATCTACGCCGTTGATTCGGAAATGCCGCTTGAATTACTTCCTTTGACTTCTTGTACCAAAACATCTGAATTTAAATCTGTTCCGTGGGGAATATTTCAAAAATCCAACTTCTCTTTGGAATGGTCTGAACCAGCATGTTCCATATGTGAAGATGAAGGCAAGAGATGCAGCTCGTATAATTCTACGACATCGGATCCTCATATTCGGTGTCTTGACCAACTCCCAACCACAAACCATCATGGAGCGGGAGCAAGAAATATTAAATTGATTGAAGGTGAACATTTTTTCTATTCCTGTTTTGATATTTTTACGCAACTAATGGATTGACTTAAGAATCTGACTTGTATGTTCTATTTCAAAGGTTTTGGTTCCATTATTGCCGCGATAATACTAGCGGCTTTTGTCTATCTTTACATCAGAGTTAGAATCTACCGAGAGAACCAAACGATGATTGGGAAGTTTTTGCGAGATTACAAAGCCCTTAAGCTGAGTCGATTTTCATACTTGGACATAAAAAGGATTACTCATCAATTTAGCGAGAAATTGGGCGAAGGGGGTTATGGAATTGTTTACAAAGGAAAGTTGAATAACGAAATAGACGTTGCAGTGAAAGTACTCAACAATTCCAACGGCAATGGAGAGGAGTTTGTGAATGAAGTAAGTACGATTGGGAGAATACACCACGTCAACGTTGTCCGTCTTCTAGGATTTTATGCTGATGGATTTCGAAGAGCTCTTGTCTATGAATTCTTACCAAACGGTTCTTTAGAAAAGTCCATTTTCCAAGAGGGTTCGAATAGAATTACTCTTGATTGGGAAAAGCTACAGGATATTGCATTGGGCATAGCCAAAGGTATAGAATATCTACACGAGGGGTGTGATCAACAAATACTCCATTTCGACATAAAGCCGCAAAACGTCTTGTTGGACCACAACCTCAACCCGAAGATATGCGATTTTGGTCTTGCAAAGTTGTGCTCAAAGGAACAAAGTGCAGTGACAATGACTGCGGCTAGAGGAACAATGGGATATATTGCACCTGAAGTACTGTCTAGGACTTTTGGGAGGGTTTCGTATAAGTCCGATGTTTATAGCTTCGGAATGTTGTTGCTCGAAATGGTGGGAGGGAGGAAAAACGAGGATCGGAATGTAAATAATACTAGTCAGGTATATTTCCCTCAATGGATATACAATCATATAAATGCGGAGGATAATCCATTGTGGGCAAAAAATGAAGAAGGAAATAGTATAGCAAGGAAACTTAGTATAGTAGGGTTGTGGTGCATACAATGGTGTCCGACAGATCGTCCGTCAATGAAAGCTGTGGTGCAGATGTTGGAAGGAGAATGTGACGACCTTACAATGCCTCCGAATCCATTTCCAGCTACTACAAATCCCATTGATGGAAAACATTATCAAACTCAGATGTCGATCATATTAGAAGAGTAGTTGTTTTCTTTTTTATTTTCCATTGTAAAACTTTGTTGTGTTGTTTGTCAAAATAAAATAAAATAAACTTTATTGTGTTGAAGCTACTAAATTCCTGACAGAGTTGAATAATATGACCTCTGTTGTTGATATTTGATCCTTTCATTTTGCAAATTAATCAATCAAATCAACCTTAATCTACCTTTATATTTCTATACTCTATTACTATTATTACTACTATCTATAAAAGGATGAATATTAGTTGAGTTTCTTCCATTTTATGTGAGGACTAAAAAGTCCTTAATAATAGACTAGAGGATAAGAGCATACAAGGATAATTGGGTAATATCTTAATAACAATATATAAACACCCATATTAATTTGTAACCGATGCAGTACTTGTTGGGCATACAAAGACAAAGGAGTGGTATTATATTTATTAATAACAATATCAAAATGCTCTGTGTTCAAAAAAAAAAAGAAATTAGTACCAATATCAAACCATAATTCCTATCTGTAACCGATGAAACTGAACCATTTTTTTTCGAAAACAACGTTTCAATGTCATCTCTTATGAAATGTTAATGCACATTGACCTTACACATGCCTCAACCACAACTTGGTTTACCCGTCACACACTACATATACTGCCCAAAATAAATAAAATGGCTCTCATTCATTCATTCATTAATATTTAGTCGGCATGCACACAATTTCCCCTGATTCAGAATATTTGTTGCTATTTAGCTAGCACTAATTTCGTTGATTTGCGAATTTGTATAGTTTAGTTTTTAATGTGTACGTTGGTAATACCCCGAACGATTGCCGTTTAAATCATCCGGCGAAAGGCAAAATAATTTAATTATGTCAAATACTTTATAATATTGAACAAATAATATTCAAGACATAGGTGATGCTGATCACCACTAGCTTTGGCGACAGGAGGTGTACACCGGTGGTAGGGGAGTTTCAGCCATGCTCGACTTCTTTTTCTCCTCGCTAGCTTACATTGAAAGGTGATTAGTACGGCCTGACGAAAAAGACTTGGATTATGGTGACATATAAACCCCTTCTATTTTTTTTTTTTCTTTTTATATGATTACTTGTATTCTCATTCTTCCCTTTGGGTGGTTTTTTATGAGCTCCAAATTTATTAATTTGGTGGAATTTATTGTACAAAAGATTGCAAACTTGCAGTCAAGCTCACAAACTTTCAACTATTAGAGACATATAATACTTTGATGGCAAAATATATATGGCCAGGATTTAATTTTTGTTAATCAGGTTCTTTTTTGTTTTGCAATATTTTTAATCCGCGGATTTAATTTGATGAGTTTTGGTTGTATGGCTATTCGTTTAAGTATTTGATTAATTTCGAAAAAGAAGAAATGAAAGCCAGTTGTTGATTGTTTCATATTTACGATAGTGATTTTAGTGCCTTTGTTTTAGCCCTCTAAAAGTATTCTCAAATATTTCATAAAGATTCTTCTATGAATGAAACGAATTATTAAAATTACTATGTTGTGTGCTACAAGATTATGAGAATATGTTATTATTATTATTTTTTATTAATAATAATTGTTGTTGTTCTTATTATAGATAGATCAAAATCCAAGGTTTAGGTAAACATGTTTAAAATATAGTTAGTTTGGATAATAAAGTGATCCAATTTATAAGAGGTAGACCTAATGAACATAAATTTGGTTCAGTCAATTATATTCATAGAAGGTGAAGATGCACTCTAATGTTAGGTACTTTAACTAGCCATTGAGGCTAATAGCAGCGAATAACAACAATGTTTAGTTTGCCGTCGAATGAGGTTTGGATGAAGGATCTTTAATAAACGTAACCGCATTGAGGCAATTGGCTATTCGGCTTCAAGATGATACGACGGGCTATAGCTTTAGCTGCTAAATGGCATTGGCAGGCTCTAGAAATAGCAAAAGATTCAAAAGCCAAATTATAGATACAATGGTGTCTCATTGTGCGAACAAAAATAATAAATTCATTGGCATTACGAATAAAGAGGACTGTAAATGCAATGCCATCCTCAAAGCAACAATCCTTGTTCATTTTCCACGACATATTATATTGGAAAGGAGGGTGTAAGGCGGTTTTTTTTTTTTTTTTTTTTTATGAGAAAAGGGTGTAAGGTGTTGAGTGTATTATTTACACTCAATATGTTTACTTTACGTGGATGTTTTGTTTAGATTTAATTGTATTTATGCTTTAATTGATAGATTTTATGTTTTATAGGTGGCAATCGAAAAATAGGTGTCCATGAAGGAAAAAAAGATTAAAAATAAATAAAAATGTTGCAAATAAGGAAATAAATCAAATTTGAAAAAGGAATCTCGCAACAACTTTGGCAGTGTCAACAATTTCGAGCACATCTCTTCCATACGAACTCCATATCACCTGATTCCGACGACATTGAAAAACTATTTACAAGGGCTATAATTCTTATTTCATGCAACTTTCCAACATTCGGACTCTAAATATATGCTCAGAATCAGAATATATATTCTGGTGGGGCGGCAAAGTGGCGAAAATTGAATCATTTTATAAGGTTTGCACTACTTCCTTATCAAGAAAAGCTTATAAAAGCAACAAGTCTTTACACCATAAACACAAACTTTTACACCACAAAACGCGAAGAACGAAGATCGAAGACTCAAGCATAGTTTTTCTTATCTCTGTTATGAATTCTATTTTGTTTATCATAAGAATTACGAGTAGCTAAGTTTTTAGTTTCTAGGATTTTATTCGAACCCTATGTGGGATTTGTGAACCCAATTCTATGATTTTATGCAAGTATTAATTTTGGAATATTTTTTCTACTTAATTTATTAAGTGCATGAACTTGATCACTTTATGTGCTTTATTGTTATTGTTGAATGCAAGAATCGGAAGATCGG